TCAGGGGGAAAGGAAACACAAAAACAAAAACTCAGAGGACAGCCGAAACGGGTTTGGCTCGGTGGATAGAGCGTCGGCCTGCAGTCTGAAGGGTCCCGGGTTCAATTCCGGTCAAGGGCATTTACCTTGGTTGCGGGCACATCACCAGTGGGGGGTGTGCAAGAGGCAGCTGATTGATGATTCTCTCTCATCGATTTTCCTCTCTGTAAAAAATCAATAAAATATATTTTTTAAAAAACAAAAAAAAACTCAGAGGACAGTTCTAAAGTTACTTCTTCAGCCCTAGCTGGCTTGGCTCAGTGGCTAGTGTTGGCCTGTGGGCTGAAGAGTCCCGGGTTTGATTCCGGTCAAGAGCACTTAACACGAGATCTACCCTCTTCACAAGTTTTTTTTTTTAAATATATTTTATTGATTTTGTACAGAGAGGAAGGGAGAGAGATACAGAGTTAGAGACATCAATGAGAGAGAGTGATCGATCAGCTGCCTCTTGCACACTCCCCACTGGGGATATGCCCACAACCAAGGAACATGCCCTTGACCGGAATCGAACCCGGGACCCCTCGGTCCCCAAGCCGATGCTCTATCCACTGAGCCAAACTGGTCTCGGCCTCTTCGCAAGCTTTTAAGTGCACAGTGCCAGGTTCTTAACCACAGACGCTAGATCATCCGGCAGGTCTCCTGAGCTTATTCCTCTGAGCTAGCTCTCAGGAACTCCTCACATTAGACCCAGTCAGCAGCCACCTGGAAGGCACACACTAAGAAGTGGCTTCCTTCGGAGCACCTAATTACTAATAATCATGATCTGAGCAAAGAAATAGAATTTCATATTAAGTTCACACAGAGCCGGAGCCCTCGCTGTACATCTCAGTAGATTCTTGGAGTGAGAGCATCTCTTCTTAGAACTGGAGCTTACCTAATGAAACTTAATTTTATGGAAGAGGAAACTGAGGTTCAAAACGTTGAAGTGAATATTTAAGATCACACAGCTACTAAGTCTTTTCTTTTCTTTCTCTTTTACTTAATTAGAATCATTTTTCCAAATCCCCAGATTCAGCTTGTGGTGCACTAGGACCCCCCCCCCAATAGATCTCTTTGTACCAGTCACCTGATGCTACAGGAAATTTCATAAACTCCTCACATATCCACCATTCACAAATTTTCCTGGTCTTCTAAATTTCATTTCTATAATATCTGCTCTTGTTTTAAGGGTCTAGCACAAATTGGATACATAGCAGGCATTTGATACATAATCAGTTAACTAGTTATTTGATTCTTATTAACATATCCTATATAATAAAAGCCTAATATGCAAATTGGCCAAACAGTGCAGGACTTGGTGGAATGACTGGTCACTATTACATGCAGTGACCACCGGGGGGCAGATGCTCAATGCAGGAGCTGCCCCCAGCCGGCAGGTCCAAGACCAGCCAAGGCAGGTGCCAGAGGCCCCCCAAATTGCCCTGCCAGTCACCCCCACAGAGGGAGGTAACCAGTGGCAGCAGGGCAATCAGGGGGCTTCGCCCCAAGAGGAAGGCTACTGGCAGCAGCAGGGTGATCAGGGGTGAGGCCAGGAGGCAATGCTAGGTTGGCCAAGGCAGGTGCCAGCAGGGGTCCCGATTGCCCCGCTGATCTCCCCACAGATCGGCCCTGATCACCAGCCAGGCCTGGGACCCTACCCGTGCATGAATTTCATGCACCAGGCCTCTAGTGTTTTCTATAATGCCTTGGGGAATGTGGACCGGAGACACTACCCACTGGGTATCATCAGCATCCCAGCTAAGTGGAGTACACAAGAATGTTGGCAAAGTGAGCAGTGGGGCACTGCATGCCCCTTAGGCCTTACTTGCTTAGTCCTCCTCCATCTTTAAGACTTACTTTCAAAGTTGGAGCAAAGCCAGCTTTTTCAGGAAGACAGCATTGTTGTTTACAATTTAGGAACCAAGAGAGGTACGGATGTGGCCTCATAGGTTTCTGTTGGGCAATAGGATTTCTTCCCATGTCGGAAGTGACTGGATTTCTTCAGAAGCACCTTCCCACTCACCTTCTTTATCTTGCTTCTCCACGGCACTGAGATGGACCTGGTTAAACAAAGGTTTTTCTAACAGAATGAAGATTACCAGAGGGGAAGGGGGCTGGGGGAAATGAAGAGAGTAAAGGGAGTCAGATAGATGGTGACACAGGAAGACTAGGCTTTGGGTGGTAAGCACACTGTGCAATGTATAGATGATGTATTATAAAACTGTACACTTGAAACATGTATGTTTTTGCCCCTGCAAATTTAATTTAAAAGAATAAGGGGGGTGCTAATTCTGAGATAACATGAGGTCACTCACTTCCAACACACATAGGTATATGCACCCATGTGTATACAACATATTCATATACACTGTGGATTAACTAGAAATCTGGTCAGTGTGTCCTCCAGGTTGACATTTAGAATTCACCGATAGAGTGTTGGCCTGAAGACTGAAGGGTCCTAGTCAAGCTCATGTGTCTGGGTTGCAGGCTTGAGCCCCAGTAGGGGGTGTGCAGGAAGCAGTCAATCAATGATTCTCATCATTGATGTGTCTCTCTCTCCCTCACCCTTTCTCTTTGAAAATCAATAAAAATATATATTTTTAAAAGAATAAATAAAATTCACTGGCACAAAGTTTTAACAGTGCTTATCTTTAAGAAAAGGAAGTACAGAACAGGAAGGGAAATTGTTTTGATTTTATGTGCTATTTGAATTTTTACTGACATCGTATCATGATGGTGGACTCGGGAAATATATTAAGCAACAACATGTGTATGTGCGCATGCGCACTCACATACACACACACACACACACACACACACATACACACACACACACACACACACACTACACAGAAATGCTAAATAACCTATATTTTTAATATTTAAATAAATATCTGACACAAAAAGCAAAGAAAGAGAAGAGAGTGAGATTTCTAAGGGCCAGAAATGAAAAGTAAACTTAGAAATGTATTAACTTACACTAATCATTCGAGAGATGCAAATCAAAACAACGAGATACCATCTCACACCTGTCAGAATGGCTATCATCAACAAATCAACAAACAACAAGTGCTGGCGAGGATGTGGAGAAAAAGGAACCCTTGTGCACTGCTGGTGGGAATGCAGACTAGTGCAACCACTGTGGAAACAGTATGGAGTTTCCTCAAAAAAGTTAAAAATGGAGCTCCCATTTCACCCAGTGATCCTACTTCTAGGACCATATCCTGTAGAGAGCATCTGGGAAGCCACATGGAGCATTTCTTTAATTATTGTCAGCTGAGTCCAATGGCATTGGCAGAGCCACATCCTGGAAACACACCATGCCAGAGGCAGGTAGTTTGTCAGCCTGACCCTTAGCTCAGGTGCAGGGGATGGGTTTCATTATCTAAGTTTAGCCAGGCACAAGGAACGGACACAATTATTCAGGCTTAGCCAGGAGTGATGATTACAAAGAAGCCACAAGAATGAAAAATTACAGCTTCATCTTTAACCATGATTTCACATAATTTCCTTTGTTTTTAAACTCTAGTAAAACTTCCTGGAATTATATTGTATAAAATAAACACACTGAACCAGCTCTGGGTCACTGTCTCTCCATCATAGGGCCAGCTGTCCCGCATGGTCCCAACTCTCTCTACTGCTTCTGTATCTGTCTCTTTCATTCTCTCAATCCCCCATCACCCCTACTCAGGACTCCTGTCTGCTCTCTAGCCGTGCTGGACATGGTAAAGAGAGAAATATTTATAATATCTCAAGAAACCAGAAACACTAATTAGAAAGAATATATTCACCTCTATGTTCATAGCAGCACAATTTACCGTAGCTAAGATTTGGAAACAACCTAAGTGCCCATCAGCTGATAAGTGGATTTAAAAAAGAACTGTGGTACATCTACAATGGAATACTACCCCGCGATAAAAAAATAATAATAATAATTAAAAAAATAAGGAACTTTTACCATTTGCAGCAGCATAGATGGAACTGGAGACCATTATACTAAGCAAAATAAGCCACTCTAGAGAAAGATAAATATCACGTGATCTCACTCATATGTGGGATATACCTGGTACGTCTGGGTTCCAGACACCATTCTGAATCCAGACCTATTATCCAGGACCAAAAACCCATCCCAGGGCCCTGATGTCAATCCCATGGCACGGACCTGTATCCTGGGGCCAAGATGACCATCCTGGGGCCCAGACCACCATACTAGGGCCCAGACTCCATCCTGGGTACCAGACCTCCATCCCAGGTCAGACTTCAGATCGGTCCCCAACCTCATGGCAGGATGTGTAATTCCTTGACAGGACTCGGAACTTCCTCCAGAGCCTGACTTCTATGGCAGGACTCAAAAGGTTATGGCAGGACTCACACCTAAATCCAGGTTCCAGACACCATTCTGAACCCAGACCTACATCCCGGACCCAGACTCCAATCCCCAGAGCAACCAAAGGACTTGTATGCATGCATATGAGCATAACCAATGGACACAGACACTTGGGGCAGTAGGAGCTTGCCCGGAGTCGATATCTGGGCAGAATGTGTGAGGTCAAGAGGGAGGTGGAGGGAAGGGAGGGGAAGGAGACACATGTAAAATTTTAGACAGGAAAGAGAGGGAGGGAGGAAGGGAGAGAGGGAATGGTTTTTTGTTCCAGCCAGTAACTGGATTAAATAGCAGTGGCTACTGTTGTAGTCACTAACCCACCCTAGCCATTCACTCTATTTCTGACACTTCTCCCTGAGACTCACCAACCCCCACATTCATCCCAATCTGCTCCCAATGCCATCTTGAACCTCCCTAAATCTCACTCACATCATTGCCAGCCTTTCCCTATTTCTAAATCTCTCCCTGTATTCTGACCCTCCACCTTATCCCAAGTAGCCATGCCATCCCTGGCTCCCCATTCTGACTCTAACCTCAACCCTGACCATAATCCCAATCTTGATCTAAATCCCATTCCTGAACCTTACTTCATCCCCAACTACAACAGCAACGGGGGTCTTAGAGGGTAGTAGAAGTGTCCCCTGAACAAGAGCCAACAAAGGAAGGCCTGCTCTCCTTGGCCAAGAACTCCTTGCTGATATGTATTATCACTCAGGTCTTCATAGCAGACTGGGCTAGATAAAGGTGGTTGATAGGTTTTACGGAAGACGAAGATGGGCAGGGCCAGGATCAGAGATAGGGCCCAGATACCTAAGCATATGAACTTGACCCAGTGCCGCTTCAGAGTCAGAGTGAGTATGGCATGAACAATGGCCAGGTAGCGGTCCACGCTAATGCAGGCCAGTAGTAGAATTCCACTGTAGAAGTTGACTTTCTTCAGGGGTGAGTCCACCTTGCACAGGGGTGTGCCAACAATCCAGCCCTTTGCCTTGGAAGTGGCCCAGATAAACAAGGTCAGGACAAAGAGCAGGACGGCCATAGCCAGGTTCAGCAGGTGGACATCATTGACAGAGCATTGGCCTGGCTGTGTAAAAGGACCAGCATCACTAGGGAGTTTCCCAGAAGGCTCAGCAGGAAGACCAGGGCATAGATGACGACCACAGCATCCCTACTGAGTGTCTCAGGGTCAATGAGACAGAGGCTATAATATTTTTCTGTGGGTGGTGTGCCAGTGATGTTTTCAAAGTAATCCCATTCATATGAAGGAAGCCAAGATTTGATGTAGTTGAAAAATTAAGAAAGAATTGTGATTTGTAACTCAAATTCAAAGTCACTCTCATCAAGAATGTGAGAACAGTTCTAACCAGTTTGTCTCAGTGGATAGAGCATCAGCCTGTGAACTCAATGGTTCCAGGTTCGATTCCGGTCAAGGGCATGTATCTTGGTTGCGAAAACATCCCCCCAGCAGGAGGCAGCTGATTGATGCTTTTCTCTCATCAGTGTTTCTAACTCTTTTTCCCTCTCCCTTCCTCTCTGTAAAAAAATCAATAAGATATATATATACCGTGTTTCCCCAAAAATAAGACATCCTCCGAAAATAAGACCTAGCGTCTGGAACAATAAGACAGCCCCTGAAAATAAGATCTAGCGCATCTTTGGGAGCAAAAATTAATATAAGACACTGTCTTATTTTCGGGGAAACAGGGTATATATTTTTTAATGTGAGAACAAACCTAGCTGGTTTGGCTCTGTGGATAGAGCATCGGCCTGCAGACTGAAGGGTCCCAGGTTCCATTCTGGTCAAGGGCACATGCCCAGGTTGCAGGTTTGACCCCCAGTGGGGGGCATGCAGGAGGCAACCAATTGAAGTTTTGCTCTCACATAAATATTTCCCTCTTTCCCTCTCTTTTCCGTTCTCTAAATAAATAAATAAATAAATAAATCGTTATCTGAGTTTTCCGCTCTATGGATGACAATGCTTATTCTCTTCCTTTTCTAATATTTATTTCTGCTTAGTTATTCCTTACATTCCCTAGCAGACCACCTCTGAAAGCTTCCAACTTGCCTGGTACACTTAAAGGGGAAAGGATTTGACTTCTTACAGTAGATTCCAGAAGGAGTCCCTGCAGGAAGGCTCACAGGAGTGTTCCACTGAGGAGGAATTTGGAGCTATCTGGTGGGAAGGAATGTGTACTTAAGCTGAGTTTGCAGAAAAGGCACACAATTTTTACTTATATTGAGAGTTCCTTTGGGCTGGCCTGGAGGCTGGTGGAGATGTTGATGGAAATTTGGAGGGAGAATTCAACCCACTCCATTCCAGCCACCAGCATTTCCTTTGCACAACCACTACCAACAATTGGTTGGTTAGAATGGCCCTGGAGCTGGGGGCATAGGCCACCTGGGGTCTGGCTGGACATCAGGGGGATCATTGGGGCAACTAGTGAATGGAGGAGGTGGGGTTCATTCTGCTCCTCTCTCTGTTCTGAAGGACAGCTTCACTGGGAACCTGCCTCAGCTGCCCCCAGCAGCTAACGTCGTCCTCTGGTACTTTAATCCCTTCTCCATTATCACATGAACCCTACTGCTCTGTGATGCTGTGTTTACCAGTCAGCACTTCCCACTAGGCCAGGCATCTGAGATCCTCCACCAGGGAACAAGTGCTCAAGCCAATGGTGTGCGATGACACTAGACAGATCTCCTATGATTCATGGGTCATGGATCTCCACTAGGATTCAGAGTGTCTGTCAGTGCGGGTACATGGTCATGGTCATGCCTAAGGTGTGCCTGAAAGCTTCACTTGCATACATCCAGGCTGGTCTGTCTGGCATTGCTCTTTCCAAATCATCCTCTATTGTTTAAAGTTAGTGCCCATCTGTTCAAGTGCAAATTATGCACCTACCCATAAATGCCAAATTTATCATGCCACTGGTGCCTACCATTCTGCCCCGGGGAAGCATTTTTTTTTAAGGCTAAGTCATGCTCTCCACCCGGTTCTCTTATCATTTATAAATAGTAGCAGGAAGTGTAGGAGATCATTGCCTAGGGCTACCCATGCTTTGCTTTTATTGCCCTGGGAATATTATAATCTAATGCCTAGACTAAAAAGGACTTGAGGATGGGAAAGTCACAAAGAGAGTGAACATTCCCCCTATTAATCATCTAGAGAAAAGGTAGCTCGTGAGGCAGAAAGTAGTGACTGGACACAGAGAAAAGAGACTGTCTGGGGCCTGGACTGCAAAACGCCTGCAGGTCAAGAGGCAGCTACAGGGGGAAAGTGTTGGCCACCAGGGGGCAGCAAAAGACCCACTGAGAAAGTCCAGGACAAGCAGCCATATTTTTTTTTTTGAGCAGCTGTATCTTATATCTATTTTTAAGCCCCTTGTGTTTAATTTCTTTCTGCTTTTCCTAATCCCTCGGTCAAGCCAGTTCAGCATTCCAGTCTGTTTAGACTGACTGAGAATTAGGAAAGACTCTGGTCCCCCCTCCAGCCTGGAGGAGCAGCAGTGGTAGCTTAGGTCTCCAGTGGGAACACGATATGGGGGTCAAGAATCGAAAAGAATCTTTGCCTTCATGGCAAGAAAGAGCATTTCATTGAGGAGAGAGAAGGGCACATGTACATGGGCATGAAATAATGTTTTATCTACTCAAAAATGTTCCAGCAAGTCTTCCCACCCAACTATCTTCCAACCTCACTTCCCACTTCTAACCGCTCCATCACAAACAGATCTGTAATGTTCCTAATGGGAAAGCATTTTTCCTTTCTGTGCATAGCATTCAAGCCCCAAAGACACGTGGAGGTCATGCATCGTGATATGTGAAGCCTGAACGTCACTCTGATGGCAAAATGCGGAGGCCTCTTCTTGTCACTCTGTTTTTGAAATGGCAGCTTCTGTGCAAGACCACATGAACAGCACGTATGGCTGTGAGTAAATCGATGTTGCCGCGTCAGCTTTGATGTTAAACCTGAGGACCAAAGTGGAGGCAAAGAAGGGGGAGGAGAGGATTCACCCCCCTCCCCAGGGGATTACCCCATTTCCAAATGAGAAGTTCAAGGACAAGCACGTGGCCTAAGATGATCCACTCAGAGCCAAGTTCAGGTCGGTTGTTTAACAACATTGGGAAAACAAGTATGCAGTCTTGTTGCTGCTGGATGTCATTTTGCTACCACAAATGGCAAACCAGTCCAAGGACAATAATTAACATACAGAGGAAGGCAGAGCTCAGAGAACCACAGAAACAGGGGCCAGGGGCCTGAACAAACCAAGCGCCGAGGTCATCTTATCACTGTACTTTTCAGTTACGTGAGGCAATAAATTCTCTTTATTGTTAAGACCTATTCAAGTAAAGTTTTCTGTTACCCACAACCAAAACTGTGCCCAACGGAGAGAGTTCTAGAAACAAAAGGTGATCGAGAATGAGAGGAGAGGAGAGGAACGTCATTGCATCTCAGGATCCTGGCTGTGACAGTCAGGATAATGGCAGGACATAACAGAGATAGGACCTCTTGGGTGCAGACCTCCTGTCCCCAGTTGACAAGCTCTGGTGGAAGCCAGAGAAGAACTTTGAAAGTTGAGTACATGAGGGATCCAGAAATCCGTGCTTTGAAGTCAGACAGACCATAATTCAAACATTGCCCACCCCCCCTTTATCAGTTTGTGATCTTAGACATTTGTTAACGTGTATCCAAGTATTCTTATCCATAGACATGGGGATAATAAGACGTGCCTCATGGTGCTGTCGTGATGATGAATGAGATAAGGGTACAGGATCTAGAACCAAACCACTCACTTCCATGCAAATCCCAGCTCTGTCCCATGGCCAGTATGTCCACGGGAAGAGTAGATACTTGCCTTGGGCCTCGGTTTTCTCATCTGTAAAGTGAGGATGAAAGTAGCATTTAGCTTATAGGATGGATATGAAGATCAGTGAGTTAATGCATGCAAGTGCTTAGCACAGCATCTCACAGATAACAAATGTTTAATCACTTTTATCCATCTTTATACAAAATTCTCATGGTCTTATTGGGGAAATATGTACCAAACACACTAAACAATACAGACAATGACCCTGCAATCCCACCTAATAAAAGGGAAGGAAGGAACGTAGGAGGGAAGATAAAGTGGAAGAACAAGTTTATCACAGGATTGTTCATAATAAAATTGGGTAATCATTTCAATGTCTTTCAAAATGCTTTTATACAAAGTATAGTAGAACTATAAAATGGAAAACTATGCTTCTATTTCGATCACTGTATCTCAAGAGCCTAGGAGGTATCTTAGGAATTAGGGTTCAATAAAAAGTTTTTGAAGAAAGAAAAGCAAAGAGAAAAAGAAATATGGATTATATTTCTAGAGACTGGAGGACCCACCACGACTTGCTTTCTGTTTATTTCACCTCCAGCCTCTGGGAAATAATACTGGAGGGAAAGTGGACTCCACCATGGCCATAAAGAAATGACTTAGCCAAAACTGGTTTGGCTCAGTGGACAGAGCATTGGCCTGCACACTGAAGAGTCCCAGGTTCGATTCTGATCAAGGGTATGTACTTTGGTTGCAGGCACATCTTCAGTAGGGGGTGTGCAGGAGTTTCTAACTCTCTATTCCTCTTCCTTCCTCTCTGTAAAAAATCAAATATATATATATATATATAAAGAAATTACTTAGCGGAATGTAAGACCTCTAGCTATACTGGAAAACCAATTTAGATAAAGCAAAGGAAATAATAAAAAAGAATCTAGGCCTGATTGCCAGGGACTGTCGTTGCAAGAACAATCCAGTAGAGGGCAGCATTATCTTCGGTGCGGGTGTTGAAATAATCCAGGTGAAAATACCTTGTACTCCCTAGAAGTGGGATTAGACAGCGAACATCTTGCACCTAGTACCACCCTTGAAAGTTTGAAAACCTTTTCCATTCTCCCCTGCAAGTCCTTCCAGGTTAGCCTTTGGCAGAGTACCAGTGCAGTTTGAGATGAGCGGTTGAGGTCTGTCACCCACATGTCACTCAACTAACTAATCACTGGCTTCAAGAACTGAATAGTCAGTTCTGTTCCTGTGATCCTCACCCTTTTCCAGCCCGCTGACCCTTCCTCCAGAGCAGTGTGAACCCATACTTCCCAACTGCACCTTTGCATACACTCAGCAGAGCAATGAAAAGGTACAGTTCAGAGAACTAAACATTTTTCCATTTTCTTCCAGCTCACTTTTTGGTCCTCCAGCACTTAGCTCGGCCTGCCTTCACAAAATCCCATGGACTCGGTGGCTTATACAACAGCTACTTGTTTCTCACAGTCCGAA